GTACTAACTAGTTACCTGTGATGATAAAGGCAGACTTGGGAGGGGTCTTGGTTTTCACCCGTCATTTTACAAATCAGACACACTTAATCTCATTCCCATAGCAGAAAACAAGTTAAAGTTCTGTAAGGGCTGATGCATTTGCCTGCCAGGTTCACTGTAACTCAGTGCTGGTCCGGAGAAGGTGCTCCGGAAGTAATGGATGGATGGTGATTTCATGATTTTGGTCCAGGAGTTTCAACTTCTATACCTTGGCCTGTTTGATGCTATTTGTAAACTGTGGTTTACAAATGTGGTTCATTCTCTCTTAAGGAGCAGGACCTCTTAAATGTAGATGGTGACAATCTCTAGACTGCAAGTGTCTTGAGGGCAGGTCATTCAGATCCTCAGCACATATAACTCATGTTTTGTAGGCATTGTGGGTACTCAGTCAGTGTCTGAATAAGATTCACTTCTGTTTTGCAGGAGAAACTTATAGGGGGTTGCTATGAACTGGATTGTGTCCCCTGACAAATTCATACGTTGAAACCCCCATGTGATGGTATTAGGAGGTAGGGCCTTTGGGAAAAGATTAGGGTTAGATGAAGTCATGAGAGTGGAGCCCTCATGATGGGATTAGTGTCCTTATAAGAGGAGACACCAGAGAGCTTGCTCTCCCTCCCTCTCTCTGCCCCGGGAAGACGCAGTGAGAAGGCAGCTATCTGCAACCCATGGAGAGGGTCATCAGAAACTGACTGTGCTGGCACCTTGATCTTGGACTTTCTGTCTCCAGAACTGTGGGAAAATAGATTTTTGTTATTTTGTTATTGTTACCCAATCTGTGGTATTCTGTTTGGGCAGCCCAAGCTAAGAAATATGGGGCAACTAGGAGTTAGGAGCTGGGCATTCATGATGGTTGTCTCCAAATAGTGAAAGGCTGGGAGGAAGTCAGATATGGGTCATGTGTCCCCAAAGATCAGACCCCAAATGGAGAGGTGGAAACAGCAGACAGACAGAAAGCAACCCAATAAAAGGAAAAGAACCCTGATGGAATGAGCTGTCTCCGACAGTGGCCAGGTGCTCATCACCGGAGATGCCCACATGGGGACCATACTGGTGCTGAGAGGAGTCAGGGCTGGAAGGATCCAAACATTGGACTGTGATGTGACCCTGTAAGGTCCCCATAGACCTTGACATTCTGTGAGCTCATGGTGAATCATTACAAACAGGAACAATTACCTCTCATTTGTAGAGCACATTAAAATTTCTAAAGCACTTTTATAGGTGCATTATCTCCTTTGATTTATATCACAACATTAGAGTTGATGCTCTCAGTACCAGTTTGCTGAATGAGGGAATGAGGGAAGAGCCACTGCTGTCCCTTGGTTGGCAGAAGAGGGATATTGAGGCAGAGTGATTTCTAGATTTTCTAGTAAAGGCCAAGTCAGGATTAAACCCAAGTCTCTGCTGTACTCTCCAGTCTACTAAACTTCCTCTAAGGTGGCAATGCTAATACTTTCTCTGAGGCTGATGTTTTCTGGTTTTTTTGTTGTTGTTGTTGTTTTGCATTTTAGTAAATTCTTCGGTATCCATATCCCCTTTAATGCTCACAAATGCCGTTTGAACCAGATATGATCATTCTTATTTTACAAATGAGAAAATTGGGGATTTGAGAGTTGAGTGCCTTTTGCAAAGTCTCCAGCTTCCATAGGGCAGAGTATTGGGGTTGCAGGCAGTGGGCGTCCCTTCCAAGCAAAGACAAGCCAGTAACCTTGGCCATGTTGGGGGTACAAGGAGATTTTGGCCACAGGCAGAGTCTAGGGGGACCTTGTTTTGGGTGCGAAGTATAGCTAGTCTAGGGAAACAACAATCAAACTGTCAGTTGATTCTTTCATGCACTGTTGCCTGATCCTGAGCAATTTCTCAGCTGCTCCTTCTGCCAGAGCCCCTCTGTACCTGGTAAATATGCCATCCTAGGAGTTCTCAGCCCTGGCTGCCTACCATAGTTGCCTGGGGGCCTGCACAAAATAACAGTACCCACCTCACTAACACCCTTCTACAGAGATTAAGATTTAATTTCATCTAGGGAGGGGAAGGGATCTGGGCATCAGTACTTTAAAAAAATATTTTTAGATAGTCTAGAATCCCCAGATTGGTGTTGGTGTGGGCAGATTTGTGCATTCAGATTCACAGGTTATTGCCATGAGGCATGAAGGCTGGGGGCTGCTGTGTTTCCAGGGTTTGCCCAGGGCTCTTTGGGTTGCTTTTGATTTTGCAGAAATGACTTCTTTTCTCCTTCCCTCCAACCATCCTGATGTGAGGTCATGGTCTAGTGGGACGCCACGTGAATGTACACCACGACTTTTGTCTTTACTCTCTCTGTGACCTCAGACAGGCCACCTTCACTTCTCTGTGCCTGTTTCCATTTCCTCCTTCGTAAAATGGAGACAACAGCGTTAGTTTCCTTATAAGGGTGTTGTGAGCATTAACTCATGAGACTATACCTGATGAAGAGTTAGGCTTCCATGAGCCCTACCTAATGGTTGTTGCTATCATTGCAGGAGCTGCATAATGTGTGTGTGTGTGTGTGTGTGTGTGTGTGTGTGTGTGTGTATGTGTGTGTATAAATGTATATAAAATATTGATTCTGGTTCTTTCCTGGCAGAGTTAGCCACTTCCTCCTATATGTAAGCATATCACCATCTTGCATCTCTCTTATGGAATTATAATGTGTTTTTGTGTCCCTAACCTGTTATATTCATTCTGCAAATGTCTGTTGAACATTTGCTGGGTGTGGACAAGGGAGATACAGCCTCTTGCCCCAGGATAACTTGGGCTTGCTTTGAAGAGGATGAACAGAGGAGGTGGACTCTATGCTGAAGCAGGCCAGGATGCTGCAGAATGCGGAACCTGTCGTGCCTCACAATTGGGGTAACTGTCCTGACAGAGCTAGGTGTTGCTCCTATGTTATTTCTTTACCTTACACATATGGAATCCTTGAACTTACTGTAATTACTTGCCTATCTCCCCTCAAAGTTAAGATACAAATCATTGCCTTCAGTTTAGGAAATGTGTTTGTTCATTTTTGTATTTCCAGTGTGATTCATTCATTTGACTTGATTCAGTTTAAGCAGCACAGCTTAAGACTTTTTGTTAAATCCTAGAGTGACACAGATGAAAAGTCCTGTATAGAAATCTTCACAGTCCTCTGGAAACTATAGACATACAAATGGGGACAGGTTTAGACCATCCCAGCTGCTGTGATAGCTGTTGATCCAGTGAGGAATGAGGACCCAAGGGTCAGCAGGCCCTTGAAAATGTGTATGGGCCCGAAACAAACATGTCTGTGTCTCACATTAAGCCCTGCCTTTTCAGGGTGAAGGACTGTTCTTTTTTTGCGTCTGTTCCCTCCCAGGGTTTAGGTCACTGTTCTATACATAGCAGGTGCATGGTGGATACACAGAGAGTGGCTGGACAGACGACATGGCTTTCCTCTGGAAGTCTGTCCTCATCTCTAAATGGAACCTTAGCCAATATTTTGAAGCTATCCATCAATGCTCACATTCTAGAAGACTGTGATGGGTGCTGAAACAATTCTCCCTCCTTGGAGCTGCCAGAGAAGGTCATTATTTTGTGACGTCCTCAGACTCTCATCGTTGCTAGAAGCTGACTAATTATGAGCAGAGAAGTGCGGGCCTTGAAATGTCCCCGTCTGCACATCTGGCCTCACTGTCAAATAAAGTACTTATTTCTGATAAGCTCTTTTGGCTTCTGTGAAGCCGCCTGGCCATGTCTGGCCGTGGGCGGTGCTGATAATGAGCTGAACAGAGAGCACTGGCTGGGGGGAGTGTGGGGGCCCAGTGGGTGGAAAGGATGGGCTTTTTAGACCATTTCAAAGTAATGAGACGGCTTAGAGAGAGGTTAGTAATGTCTGCTACCACGTTCATTTTCTCTGTTTCCATTGAAATGGAAGTTCTAGGTGGACTGAACCTGACCAAGAAAGGGAATGGGGACAGGAAAGCTAATGAGAAATGGGACTCGGTTATTTTTGGAGTGCTTTGTACTTTCAGAGGATTGTACCCTGAGCCTTCTTCATCTAAACTGTATGAAGCACCTAAGCACATGGCCACTCGGGACCGTTTGTATGGCGCTATAATTAATTTATCCCTTTGAGACTGTGTGGTGGACATCTGTCTGTGTTATTAAGAGTAAATCTCGAGCATGAAACTTAAATGTCAGCAGCTGGATGTGCTTTTATGGAAAGATCATAGACTTTAGAAACTTTCCAAGAAACTAAAGAAAATCAACACCTTATTAACAGTGTATCTTTGTCAAGACAAGGAAACTTTGAGATTCAGTTTCCTTCTCTAACAAAAAAACAAAAAAAACAAATGTGGACTTTTTAGGTAGAATAACTGTAAATGCTATAAAAATAAACTTCAACATATTAGTAGCTCATATATGCCTCTCTCTTACTCATGTAAGAGTTTAAGAAGGGTGTTCCTGGTCAGGAAGTGGCTTTTCTTCATGCAGTGATTTGCAGATGCAGTTCTCCTCTGTGTTGCTGTTCTGCCATCCCTGGGCCCTTGATGTCCACTTAGCTGGCAGAGGGGCAAGGGACAGGGGAGAAGGCACTCCACTTCTTAAGCACATCACCCTGGAAGTGGTGCACAATCACTTCACTTCCCAGGAGCAAGCTCTAGAAGAGGGATGGTAACCACTCTCTGCCACAACCTTTCTTTAGTGTTGTATAAGAATAGGTGAAGTTGGGATTATGAACATACCGCGGTGTGGTGTGTGCTGTAAACTATGGCCTTTATTATTTGTGGGCTGTTTGTAGGCACACATGGCCACCCAGGACCATTCGTGTGGTCCTGTAATTAATTTATCCCCTTGAGACTATGCAGCGGGCATCCTTCTGTGTGATTAAGGGTAGATCTCCATCATAAGTGTAATGACTAATGCATATCTTCTGTAGCTGGATCATGATCTACATTAACTCATCCCTTGCTGATGTCTTTCAGATTGTCTTTGGTTTTGGTGCTGTTACAAAGGAGAGAGCATCAATTCTTCTACATGCTCCTCACACTGCAGGTTCTGGGAGGGAGACAAAGACAAGTCATAGCATCTACCACCCTCAAGACACTCACAATCGAATAAGCTACCCAGGTGACATGGCGTGCTTACCTGGCTAGAAAGTGAAGACTTTTCACATCGGAGCTCCATGCTGTGGGAGTTTGAAGTGCAGAGGGTCTAATGTTCCACTCCAGGTGAGATTGAGTCCCCTGCCTTTCCTGGGTCATCAGCTTCCATTTTCTTCCTGGATTTCAGGACCATGTAGAACGTCAGAGAGGGGCCCTCAGACATCATCTGGCCTTTATCATTCCACCTGCTTATAGATGGGGAAACACAGACTCGGAGAGGCTGGATCACTTACGGAGTTTTATGCAAATCCAGCAGACCTCAAATCTAGGTGTCCCTATCTTGAATTAAATCTTCGTGCCTTTGCATCAGGTCCCAGAGTGCTATTTTCCCGAACTTTGCCTCTGGGTGTGTCCATGTCAAAAGGACGTTGTGAGTGTGGTCAGTGGAGGATGGAGGAGAGGTGGCCAGGGCAGAACAGATGGGGAGGCTGAAGACACACCAAAAATCCTGCTGTCTGCTCCATGAGGCAGTAAGAATTGTGTTGTCTGCACAGGTACCAGTCGGCTACATCCCTCTTAATTTTTTTTTAACACAAATTAATAGGAACTGGACACCCACTGCCTTATTTATGTTGGTGTCCATTATAGCGTGTCCATGTCAGACAAGAACCCAGTGTCTGGGGCTCTCACTTCCCCATGTCAGGGTTGATGCCACTTGTGACTGAGCTGCAGGTCACATTCAACTCCTGTGCTCTCCAGGATTGGGTGGAATACCAGCACATCTCACCTTCCTGCACCCTGGGAGTTAGTGTCAATCTATAAATAGGTAGATTTGTTTCAGAGATCCTTTTCAGAACCCTACTGTGCATATGCTGCAGTGATGTTGGCTGCAGTGGTATTTATAACTGTGGCAGATCAGAACTGGCTTCAATCTCACAGAGCAGGGGAGTGTTTGGAGGCACCATAGCACATGCACAGAATTCATCCTTCAGTCATTTAAACATTAAAACGATGGCTAAAAATGGCTACATCCTGGGGAAAAGGGACAGGATGTAAATTGCTCATGATGCAATATGATAAGGAAAGAAAAAGGTCCTGTAAAAGGTCAGATAAGGTCACCTGCAGATCAGCAGTCCTGTCCTGATTAGCGGCTCTGTGCTGGGCACCTGGGCTGGAAGTCAGCGGAGGCTCTTTCAAGGAAGTGGGCAGCTGCTGTCTGTGTTTGTCTCCACCATGAGGCTCCTGGAAGCTCCCTTCATTACTTCACATAATTTGTCTTTAGCACTATCTGCAATGCCTTTGTGTGTTTGTTGTGCTAGCAGTCACAGAGGGAGTCCTGGAGAAATGCCAGGGAGATAGGTACTGAAATATTCCAGGTGGAAAAAAATCTCTGCTCCAGGTGGCCACAGCAGAGAACATCGGCGTCAAACAGGGAGTGTCTTTTCAGGGGAGTCTCAGCTCACCTATGACCTAGTGTCCAGCCCGCCTCCTGGGGAGAAGCCTGTGCCCTGACATGTAAGCTTTGTGGGCCAGGACTAGCACGTTACAGAGCCTTGCAAATGAAAAAGCCTCGCTTCCTCCCCCCACGCCCACCACTTAAAATTCCCCGGATCTGGCAGCGGGAGGGGAAGGGCTGTCCCTGGAGAAGGAGATTGCTCCTTGACAATCCGATTAAGATTCCTAATGATTGCAGCAGATGAGCCCTGAGCGCCGTGGCTGAGTCTGCAGCAGATGAAGGCTCTTCCCCAAGGAGCCCTGCCCAGCCTTCCGGGAGGACCTCGGCGCTGTACCCGGCCTGTGCTGCCCGGTTCCCGGTCGTGCCGTCAGCAATGCTCAGTTCCTGCCCCTAGGGTGGCGTTTCCCATCTTTCCCGAGAACGTCAGAGCTGCCGCGTCTGGACCAGCTAGAGGCAGCCACTGTGCTCAGGATGCGGCTGCTGCCTCGAGGAAGCGAGCCTCGAATACGGGGCGTTACAGCAGGGTGGGGTTTGCTTTACATTCATTCGTTTTTACATCTGGAAGATAATGGAAAAATTTAAAATTGCTGTAATTGTACCAATTTAAAAAATTAATACGAAGAAGAGAGTAACCAACACCAGCTTGAAACCTAGCCCACCTCTTCTTGAGATAATCTCTATTATCAGCTTGGTAATTTACAAAAACCCAGTGGTGTACTGTTAAAACTCTTGGGGTTGGCGGGGTGGGGGACAGCTCTGAATTGTAGGTGTGTCAATTTCTGTGATGAAATCCCACCATGGCCGATTTCAGACAACCAGAGGTTTAAAAACCAGTGTGCAAAATTCTTGAATATTTAACAGTTGACTTTTTTGCAAGCCGGTACATACTCACAAGTTTGTTGTTGTTGTTGTCTGTTTTCATTTTCTCTTTTGGGGAATTGGAAAACTTATTATTGTATTGGTAAGCATGCCATTTTTATTTACTATGACATCTTCCCAGACCAGCTCATGCAGGTCCACTTAGCTCCTTTTGCTTGTGTGGTGGGGTTTTCATGGAGGCACACCGTTTTGCCGCTGGACCTTTCTTGGAAGGGCAGATCAGCCTGGCAGCAGAGGGGAGGTGACAGCAGCTGGGTACTCAGGGGCTGGCTGCTGAAATGCTGTCCACATTTGGTTTTCCTTGGAGTTGACTGTAGCTTCTGACCTGTTCTAAATGTGTTCTTCTAATAACCTGTAGCCTAGTCACCTCTGCAGGTGACATTTCCCTTCACTCTGCTCATTTCCAGATTCCATTAGAGAATCTCACTTTTCTCCTGGGAAACCTCTCTCAATACTCTCCTATTCCCCACACCCCCTCCCTGAGGCTGGGCAATGATTTCTTGGAACCCAGTTCTCCTGCGGGATTTCTCACCACACCTTATTTACTGCATGACATCTACCTCTTTCCTGTCTAGAAGCAGAGAAGCTCTGGTAGGCAGAATGGTCCCTCTAAAGATGTCCACACCCCAATCCCTGGTGTTATGCCTATAAATATGCCACTTCACTTGGCGCAATGGACATTGCAGATGTAATTAACGTTCCTAATCCATTGACCTTCAATAAAAAAAAAAGAGTCCTGGTTATCTGGTGGGCTAATCCTATCACATGGCCTTTAAAAGCAGAGACTTTCTCTAACCATGATCAGAGAGTTGCCATGAAGGATGCCAAGGATGAGGAGGATTCGATGTGGTGGCTCTGAAATGTGGAGCCCATGTGCAAAGACTGGAGGGGGTTTCTGGTTGCTAAGGGAGGCCCCAGCCGACAGTCAGCAAAGAGGCAGGGACCTCCACTGTACAGCCGCAGGGAACGGAATTCTCAACGACGCGAATAAGCTTGGAAGAGGCCTCCAGATGGGGGCCCAGCCAGCCAACACCTTGAATTCAGCTTTGCGAATGAAACTGGGAGCAGAGAAACCAGCTGAGCCAACCCACATTCTGACCCACAGAACCACGAGATAATTATGTGTGTGTTGTTTTAAACCGCAGAGTTTGTGGTGATTTGTTAGAGCAGCTGTAGACAATTAATACAGGCTCCTAGTGGTTGGGAATGCAGGTTCTGGGCCCCTCTCTTGACTTCCAAAGCATGTTTTCCCTTTCTCCGGGGAAACCTCAAGTTCCCAGTGGCTGCTTTCCCGAGTCTCAGCCCTGCTTCTCCCAGCTATCCTGAGTGAACAGGTTCTACCATCTTCCAAACACTTCATCTCCCCTCCACCTCCCCACAGTCACCACTTGGTAGATTTTACTGCTGAAGCCTGGGCCTCCGCTCCCGATTTCAGACCCCTGGGATGTTGCGGTAGCTTCCTTATGGGGGTCTCCCTAACTCCAGGCCCTCCCTCTTCCCAACCGTCCTCCAAACTGCTGCCAGATGCATCTTCCTGGAGAGCAGCTTGGCGTACATCACTCACTCCCCCGCTACAGGCATCCCGTGGGTTTCCTGTTCCCACTGAATCCAGCACGAATCCCTCGGGCTAGAATTCACAATTTCTAGCCAGAAAAGGAACATTGCCCCTCCAGTCTGCTTTCCCAGGACTCCCTCTTGTGCATTTGCATTTTCCTGCTGTCCCCTTTACGCCCGAGCTGTCGCAGCCCCAGGTCTTTGTTCCGCCAGCCCCGTGGGGCCCTGCACACACACCCTCTCGTCTTGCAGCCCTCCCGGGACCCCCAGATGCACTGCTGTTGACATGCACAAGACCCGTCTCCCCACCAGACTTGCTTCCTGCCCCAGAGCCGTGCACAGTGCCAGGAGCATCATGATACGTATCACCTGTGCTCACTCGCTCATCCAGAGACGCCCAGAGTGGAGGAGAAAGGCAGCCAGACAGGGAGGGCCTCTCCACCATGTTGGGCACATGCCCACAGCCACTCATGAAAATAGCTCTTAAGTGAGGATGTGGTGGTGGGTTGCTTTTACACTATTTAAAAATGGGTGCTTCTAAGGACTTGAAAAATCTCAGAAGTATTTATGGAACACTCTTCTCACTACAGCATTTGTGTTTGCCGGGGCTGCATATAGTGAGTTTGAAGATGGCCTGCACATTGGCAAATAATATTTTACTATATTTAACAGAGTCTTACTATCACAATTTTGTGAATAGCTGACTCATTGAGCACATGTGATCACCATGAATTAACTCAATTAATTTGTACAGCAATGCTATGAGGTTGGGACTATTCATAACTACATTTTATGGGTGAGGAAACTGGGGCACAGAGAGGTTAAGTGATTTACCAAAGGTTGCATAGGTGTTGAGTAGCAGAGCCCAATGTCAAGCCCAGGCAGTTTAGCTCTGGAACCAGTGGCTTCACTCCTTCCCCTACTCCCCGAGTTACTTCTACTGCTACCATTTTGGTCTGTTTATGAGAGGGAGAAGAACCCTTTGTCCCTGGACGAATGTCATTATCATTAACATTATTGCTGTAGTTCACTGTCTGTTACTATTTTTAACACTGCGCATGCACACAGGACTTTAAAGTTTTAAAGGTTTTTCTCTTGATTCTCACACTGGACAGCCACAGGGATGTGCCTTCCCTGCCCTGGAATGTGCCTTAGGAATAGCCCATCTCCTTGGCTCCAAATGCCCCCTCCGCTGGGAAGCAACATATTTCCCATACCCGATCCTAAACCCGACCCC